TATTTGCTATGAATAAGTCATTGTGCAAAATTCGATCATTCTCTCTCCAGCTCCATTTCTGTCACCGAGTCCATGTTTTCCAACTACTGAATCTTCTTTGTTCCCGACTTTTGCGTTCCAGTCACCCATTATTGGCCTATACTTTTCTGATTTGTTTGTGTCCTTTCCTGGCTTTAGTATCAAGTGTATGTTTATTTCATAGAATGAGTCTGAGAGAATTCCATCATTTTCTATTTTCTGAAGAAATAATTTTTATGTAGTATTGTTGACATTTCTTCTTTGATTGTTTGATGAAATTCACTTGTAAAACTATCTGGTCCAGTGCTTGTTGGCGCTGGAAGTTGTTTTATTACCTTTTCAATTTCTTTTTAGTAATGGGTCTGTTCAGGTGTAGTTTCGCTTTGTATCATTTTAGTTAGTTTGTGCATTTCTAAGTATTTGTCCATTTTCTTGAGGTTTTCATATTTGTTTGAGTATAGTTTCTCATAATATTCCAATGTTAGCCTTTTTATTTTAATTGGTTCTGTTGTGATGTTGCCTGTTTCATCTCTTATTCAGATTATTTGTGTCTTTTCCTTCTTTTCTTTTTTTTAAGCATTTATGACTTTAATAAAACTATATCAACATTGACGTTTTCTCTATTATTGGATATTTCTTGGGTATAATGCATTGAATATTTATATTAGGTATTTAAGTAACAAAGAACCATTATTTTTTTCAGAGACTGAATGCCAAACAAGTTATTTCTCATTTATACAAAATTTTCTGGGTCGAGGTAGCTTCCTTGAGAACCTAACCACGCTGATAGAGAGAAAATTCTGGAAAGTGTCTCACCAATGCTTAAATATTTTAGATAAATGTGGCTTATAATTTCTACTCAAGCTTCATTAGTGATACCTTATAAGATAGCTCCACTAGCTTCAACAAGGACAGTAAATTGTTATCTTTCTTATGCCCAGATGTACTGGAAGAATAGAGATTGGTGAACCCTAGTCAATGCCTTCCACTTAACCTTTTTCTAAAATTTTCTACTAGTTTATTTACAAAATGTAAATAGAAAATTATATAAATTCTTTCACTTTCCTTCACCAGCCCCCCATCGAATGGTACAACCCAATGATTAATCCTGCCTTCCCCTGCACATCCATATCTCTCTGCTTCCAGCCTCTTCCACCCCTTGGATCCTTATACTCATTATACAATAACAATTTTAAGCAATATTTATACTAATGGAACTGAGATAGTTCACTCAGCATAATGCTCTCCATCCCTCCCAAGTTAGGTAATAATTCACAAAGTTATGGCTCCTGTGTGCTGCATAGTATTTCATTTTATGAATGTATCATAATTTCTCAGTCTATTCATTTGTGGTTGTACTTTGGGCTGTTTCCATATTCTTGCGATGGTGAAAAATGCTGCTATGAACATTGGTGTACAAATCTCAGTTTGTGCCTCAGTTCTCACATTCTCAGGGTATATTCCAAGTAGTGGAATAGCTGGGTCATATGGAATTTCAATGTTCAGCCTTTAGAGGAAGCACTAATCTGCCTTCCAGAATGGTTGCACCATTTTACTATCCCACCAACAATGTATAAGAGTTCCTTTCTTGCCACATCCTCTCCAACATCTATTACTTACTGACCTGTTAAACTTTGCCACTATTACTGGAGTGAGATGGTACCTCATTGTGGTTTTGATTTGCATCTCTCTTATTGCCAGTGATTTGGAGCATTTCTTCATGTGTCTGTTTGCCATTCTAATATCTTCCTGTGTGAAAATTATTTCCATGTCTTTTACCCATTTTGTAATTTGGTATCAGTCTTTTTCTTGTGGAAACCCAGGAGTATTCTGTAAACTTTTGTTAAAAGACTTGTCTGAGATGGAATTACCAAATGTTTGTTCCCAGTTAGTAGGTTTTCTTTTCACCCTGTTGGAAAGTTTTTGATGTGCATAGAGATTTAATCTTTGGAAGGTCCTGTGTATCTGTTTTATCCTCTGGGGAAATGATAACCTCTTCAACAAATGGTGCTGGCAAAACTGGACTTCCACTTGCAGAAAGCTGAAACAGGATCCACATCTCACACCTTACACAAAAATCAACTCAAGGTGGGTCAGAGACCTTGGAGTAAAGCCCAAAACCATAACATTCTTAAGGGACAAACTGGAATCAAGCTTAGAAGCACTCGTCCAAGGTATAAGGAGCCTGCCAGATACAACCAGAAATGCACAATCTAAAGAAGATAAAATTTTACTTCTTTTCTTTTTTTAGTTTTGCTAGTGGTTTGTCGATTTTATTGACCTTTTCAAAGAAAAAACTCCTAGTTTTGTTTAAGGTTTCAATTCTTGATTCTCAACTTTTCTAAGCATGACATTTTTTTTCTTTTCAGTGACTGGCTTCTGTTGATGACATACATGTCTAAAGTATATGAGACGAAGTCTCACTCTCCTTTCCTGGACTTCTTAAAAACATAGTAGTTTGTTCACTTGACATTTTATAATTTAGTCATATTCTTTACTAGTTCAAGTCAAATGCATCAATTCTTGTCTTTATAATTACTTATTCAACTTTCATATGCATATGAAACAATTGAAAATACCTTGGTTTGGGCCAGGTGCACTTTGCTTTTTAAACTGACATCCTTGCTCTTTATCACTTTAAAGAGGTCCTTGGTATCATATTTGTCCAGTGCAATACATCAGTTGATTTTTTGACTGCTACTTCCATGGATGTTGGTTGGATTGTGGATCCAAGGAAAATGATCTTTTCTTCATTTATCGTGATCATGTTTATTGTTCTAGTTGTGAGGATTTTGAAATGTAATTCATAATTAAGATTTTTTTTATCTTCTTCAGTAAGCGCTTCAAGTCCTCCTCACTTTCAGCAAGAAAGGTGATATGTGTGTCACAGATTCTTAATGAGTTTATTATATTCATATAATCTAACTTCTAGTATTGTTTGCTGTAAATGTGCTCACTTGTTCATGTAAAAAAATTTAGATGACACCTACCTAGCCAGCTGACTGGCAGACATCAACATTTGTAACCATTTTTAAAAATCCTGATCCAACAAAATGAGGACGTTATCAAACAATATCATTAATATCACATGCAAGTAAAATCTTGCTGAAGATTATTTATTTAAAAGTTGCTGCAGCAATACATCCACAGGGAACTGCCATAAATCTTAGCTGGTTTCAGAAGAAGCTGTGGCACAAAGGATGTCATTGCTGCTGATGAACCTTGACTGAAAGCAGAGAGTATCAGAAAGTTGTGTTTTATGACTCTGCAAAGGTATTTGACTCTGTGGATCATAATAAATTATGGATATCATTGAGAAAAATAGGGATTTTGGAACACTTAATTGTGTTCGTATTGAATCTACACATAGGCCAAAAACATTTGTTAGGGGGCGAAAAACCCATGTTGATTGTCTTTAAGTCAAGCACGATCTTATGAACAAAAGACCTGAAACCCTTCTGCAACTATCGACATTTATCAACATTCATAGAGTTTCCGGAGGCATGTTATTTAGGAAGTGGATGCCATTCTTAATGGCTTAAAATCTGGAAGGTCTTTGTCTCATACCTATATTCAGTCTGTATGTTGAGAACACTTAGATATATATTCACAAAAGAAATGAGTTTAGACACCTAGCTCACACCATAAACAAAAATGGACTCAAAATGGATAAAAATAAATTTTTTACTTAGGACTTATACACAATTCTCATTTAAAAACATGTGCCTCAGCCAAAATATACTATTGATTTTGTGGCAGTGTCTGCACTGTAGTAGTAACGGTATTTGTTGACTGTTCTTTCCTCATTCCAGGTGCCTTGATGACAATGCATGGGACTATGCCAGAGCTGGACAGATCTTCACTATACTCAAGGTGAGGTCTGAGAACCAAGTGAATAAAAGATTCATGTTTCTGGTATATATGTTTCTGGACTTGAGGAAGGCCAAGAAGTGTAAGGTGGCCTGTGGGTGATACTCAGGAACCTTTGATTTTCTAAAGTCCCTTCTCTTCCTACAGGTCGAGGGAAAGATCCCAGAAGAGGCTTTCAAGCAAAACCCCTAAAAAGATCTCTTGAATGTTACTTTCATCTTCATTCATATAATTTCTTTTTCTCTTTTCTTGAGCCTGAGGCCATACACCTATGAGGCCTCACTGAACAAGAAGCCAAAGGTAACTTGAATCACTCAATGGATTACCTGCTCTTTGTATTTTCCCAGTAATTACCTTTGTTTATTTTCAAAATAAAGAGCAATGTTGCACATTATCTGTTATGTGTCCTTGTTTTCTCTTCTGCTCCAGTGGCACTACTGCCAGGTATGAAAGGCCAAACTTCCCTGTTCATTTCTAATAGAAATGCCTAGCAGATTCATCAGGCTTATATCTATAAGCAGGGTGTTGATGAAAGGAAAATTTTGCTTCTGTGGATTGTTTTTGGAGACAGTGTACCTCAGTTGTTATATCTAGAGTAATTATGTTACTTGGCACAAAATGGGCTTTGGTGGCCTAGTGGCAAGGAATTGTGTTTCAGACCCAAAGGCATGTGGTTTGAACCCACCATCTCTTCTGAGAGAGAAATATGGACAGTCTCCTCCCATGTGACTTACTGCCTCTGAAAATCCACTGGAAGGTCATCTATGAGTAGGTTCCAACTATACAACAAATAACAAGTGAAGATAATAGAAAGGGGAAAGATGGAGTCTTTCTTTTTTCTTCTCTCTTAATGATTTGAAATTTTTCAAAGATCATATTGTGAACACACTTTTAATTTGCACATATTGTCAAACTTTCACATGCATATGAAGCAATTGAAAAACAACATGGCTTGGATCAGATTCCTCTTAATATTTAAACTGACATCAGTAGCTTCTTGAGAGAAAGATGGCAAATCATAGACCATGCTGCTTACTGTCTTTGAAACTTGCTGGTGGGGAGGGTCAGCTATGAGTCAGTTCTGATTCAATAACAGTTAAAAGAGAGTGTTTTTATCTTGGGAAATGTCCATTGTTGCTGCCATAAATAATCTTTTTGGTTTTAAATGGGAAAATGTATATAAAACCCTCTTTTCTGGGTTATATATTTCTGGATGTTTGAATACACCAGTGATTCCACTGAAGAAAGAGGAGAAAGCTCCTCTTGTGAAACTTACAACCCTGGAAATCCAAAGGCAGTTCAGCTATGGATCTGTTCTGATCTGGAGAGAGAATTTTAACTTGGCAACTGTTCATTGTTACTGTCATAAATAATCTTTGTATTTTTAAATGGAGAAATGGGTATAAGATACAATTTATGCCTTGAACCTCTCTGAGTGTTTTAAATCACCAGAGGCTTCTTGGGAGAAAGCTGGGCAATTTCTTCCTGTGTGATTTACAGCTCTAAACCCAACGGAGCATCAGCTATAGCTCAGTTTTAACTCAAAATGGGTTAAAAGATAATTTGAAATATTCCTTTAATCTCAAACTTTTTCTACCCTCTTCCCCCATGAGTGCATTTTTTTTAAAAAGAAAATTTATATTGGCTTGCTCACAAAGTTCATATACATTGTGTTTCACAATCTTCTTCATTCATACTGTGTTCCATGCAATCATTCCCATGCATTACAGTTTCTAAAATCAATCACCATTGTACCTTGCCCACCGTTACCCAAACTTTTCAGGTACCTACTAGAGACTTCCCATTTGCTTCACCCCCTCCCTTCACCCACCAAAATGTGCATCTATGTGGTTTCAATCTTTACCTCTCTGCTCCCACCCTTTACCCACTGGGGTCCCCATACATGTCATACTAGTTATCATTCTATCTTTATAATAATACACTTAAGCAGAATTTGTTCTTATGAGACTGAATTAGTTCATTCAGCATAATACTCTCCAGTGTCTCCTTAGTTATGTAGTAAATTTTAAAAATCATTGTTCCTGAGTGCTGCATAGATTTCCATCATGTGAATGTACCACAAGTTCTCAGTCCATTCAGTTCTGCATGGAAATTTGGTCTGTTTCCATGTCCTTGCGATGGTGATAACGCTGCTATAAACATTGGTGTACAGATCTCTGTTTGTTCCTCAGTTCTAATTTTCCCAGGCTATATTATATAGTCTCAGGAAGAATTGAAGATACTAAAGAGATGAATAGAAGATTTCAAAAGGCAGCACGGGATGACAAAGCAAAATATTACAATAAAATATGCAAGGAGTTGGAGTCAGAAAATCAAAAGGGCCGAACTCGCTCAACATTTCTTAAGCTCAAGGAACTGAAGAAAAAATTCAAACCTCGATTTGCTATAATCAAGGATGCTTTCGGCAGAATGTTAAATGATCCAGGAAGTATTAAAAGAAGATGGAAAGAATATACTGAGTCAC